ATGTTTGACCTTCTGGGCTTTAAGGGAGGAAAGTGGGGCTTTGGCTATATCTCTAAAGTATAGAATATGAGTCAGTTTTCTCTAAATAATGTAGTCCCTGTTGAGTCACCCATTGTCCAGTGGAAGCCCCATATCCAAGAGTTTATGGGCAGCACACATGGACTTGATAGGTGTTGGAAAAAAAATACAAAGATGGGTAGGTGGAAGGGGTGGGTGTGGTACAAAACACATTGTACAAAATTCTGAAAGGACTAATAATTTTTCTTTTAGTGGAAGGGCATCACATTCCTGGCCCGAGAAAGGATTCATTATTTATAACCATATCACTTTTGTCTCATACTGTCATCATGTTAGAACAGAGGACACTTATGACTTTGTTTTGATAGAAGCCAGAAGTGCGTGGCTGAAGACAGAGTGGGAATAATAAAGAGACCATTGTTTCTGGGTAGTCTAGTGAAGTCTCTCCAAGCAAGAGTCTTTTTTCTTCCCTTTCTTAAGAAAGTAAGAACTATTATAAAATAAAATGTGGACCCCTACACCTGAAACTCCATGAAGAACAGTACCTCTCCATTTGATAAATACTGATAGAATACATCTTCCTTTTTCTGCCAAGAGAGAATTGGCACCACCTCAAGTAAATGGCTGTCTTCTAGGATAAAGTCAGTTTTTGTTTTTCATAGTCTCAAGAGGAAGAAAGCACATCCACAAAGTCCCTGCTTTTCTTACCTAGAACAAAATATAAATGTTATAGTATTAAACACTATTTTACTTAAAGTCCCCTACTTTGTGGTATGAATAATCTATGTAGAATGATGTAACTATAACACATACTAGACTGTATATACAAATCTGTGTGGACCTCATGGACCATCTCTACAAAGATGGATTTCCAGAGAGGCCAGAATGATGTCAAACATAAAGCCCAAGACTCCCAAGCAAGGATGGAGAGTATTTAATAAGATATAATCTTCCTAGCAGATTGTTCTGGTATCTTAGCTAGATCTCAGAGGTTCTGATATTTATAAGGAGACTATTCCTGGAAGAAACAATAGTGTCATGTGCAGTGTTTCTTCGGAGCCACTAGGATGCACATTTTTTTTGGGGGGGGCAGACTGCCAGAGTGCTCCCCAAGGTTTCTGGTGGCTAAACAACACTGCTATCTTCTCAGAACTCTTCCTTTATAAGAACCCTCAAGTATTTCAAGGCAATTCCTATCATATTAATGTGGCCTCAGACTCAAAACTGTTCTTCCAGAAGTTATTTCTGTAGGCTTACAGGAATCTGGATTTTACATGTATATATGTGTGTACATGTGTATATACATATATGTGTATATATGAACATATATAAATATTCCAGTCTCCTGAGCCAAATCCAGCCAGATTTGGTATTTTTTTTACTACTTACCAGCTAAAAATGTTTTCTTTGTCTTTTGAGACAGTGTCTTTCTGTATAAAATAGATTGGTTTTGAACTTAGATCCTTCTACCCCAGAATTTTTTAACATAATAAAGGATTGTGAAACGCACAATATGCACCTGACCCATGATACCTAAAATACTATCAGAAAGTTTGCCTACCTCTGCCTTCTATTATATAATCAGTCCTCTGACCTGCTGCTCTACCAACAGCTGACACTGGCTATTATAAGAGCTGTGAAGGAGGAGGAAACTATTTATTCTGAGGCACTCTTACAAGAATGAACCCAATTAATTCATCTCCAGGCAAGAAACACTATTGCATGGCACCCAAGGACTAAGCACTGAAAGAGATAAAATATAAAGTCCTCTGCTATCATTAGAAAATTGTGAGTGCCCAACAAAGAGAGGCAAGGATGCCCAGCTCCATTCTTAAATTGTGACAGCCCATTTAACAGGGCAATGCTCAGCAATGCCACATTCTGCATAAAAACCTCACCCTTCTTGCACTCTCCAAACTGATGCCTGAGGGCTGCCCAGGCCTTTACTCTCAGCAAGCCTATGATATAAACTAGAGAGAGAATTAGAATCACCTAGTGACATTTTGTAAATCTATGTACATAAGGCCCACTATAATCCCAATGGGTAGAAATCCATTTTTTTAACATGCTTTATGGGTGACTAAAATACAGTCAGCCAGGCACTAGCCTTCAAACCTTCAAAATTACCACTACCTCTCTCTCGTGCATCTTCGATACAAAATGCCTGTCATCTTCCCTCCCCAGAAATTAGTTCCTAGCAATCAATGAGTTTAAATTTTTCTCCTAAAGACAGTGCTTTAACCTTGAAACATGATTGCATTGATGGGTGTAGGAGCATATAATGTACGCTGGGGAGACACTAAGGAGTGGGAGAACCTGCAAGGTGCACTTAGGCTGCTCACACTTGCTTTTTAGATTTTCTCTTAATTCCAGGACAATTAGTGGAGAGTGTGATTTTAGTGATACCACTGAGACCTTTTGACAAGAAGCCTGCCATCACCTCTAGCAACATTAACCTTCACAAAGTGTCATTTTTTAAAATGAGCATAATTTGCAAAATTACAACCCATAAGGCAGTCTAATATCTTTCTGAGATTATCTCTGGTCTAGGCAGATTTATTCTCTAAATAAAGAGCAGCCAGGGACATGGTGAAATCAAGCTGCTTCAGTCTGTACCTCAGAGGTTAGTACTTGTGTTAAAACTTCTAAAGGGTATCTCAAAGGCACTATGTTTCAAAAAGAGCAAAAACTAAAGCAATATCTAGCTTAGCCACTTATTTTAGTTGCCAGCACTTTCATTTAAAATGTCCTGCTCAAAAACTAATAGCTCATTAAATGAAGCCACACAGATCAAATTTTGTCTTTAGCAGTCTACAAGATAAGATCCAGTTTTGCCTTCTGTATTGTTACTGATAAGAAAAATTTAAAAACATTTAATTTCAAGGGTATGTTTATTGTTGCACATGAACCCATAGAAAAGTTTGTATGTGTTAGAAAAATATTTCAGATAGCTAGCAGATACCTGAAAAATACTTTAAAAAGCCACATAGACTATCTAAAATAACTCCCAGAAACTGAAAACCAGGGGAAACCAAGCACCTGGTCTTTAGATTAGACATTAAAATTATTTTAGTTCGTTTATTCACTTATAACACTGAATCATTTTAAAAACTGAATTACTACTTAAATTTTACAGGAAAGCTAATGTGCAACTAAAAGGCTTTTATTAGAAGAGGCTGTTTCCATTGTTAAACGTTCTGTGTGTCATCAGTTCTAATTCATCCCATAATGACAATAGTCAATAGTATATTTCCTGGTTAAGTTTGAATTTTAGCTTTGTGAAGGGCTTTCAATACATTCAGGACTAATTTTATTCAGCCTGTTAACAGACAGTGACAAAATGGTGAACTAGAGTTTCCTTTTCTGACTGCCTTGCCTACCCTACCTGTGCACATCAGTACTAGTTTTTTGTTTGTTTGTTTGTTTGTTTGTTTGTTTGTTTGTTTGCATCAGTCGACCTTTAATGTCCAAAAGAGGTGTGGGTACAGAGCGTAGAAGTGGCAGGGTCACAGTCCCTGCCCCAGAAATGAGAGATGAACAAAACTAGACACTTCCAACTGGCCAGAGTCTTGGAGGGCAGGGAGAAACACAGATCTAGACATTCTTAAGAAAAATGAAACCTAAAGTCAAACATTCAATCTTGTACCCAATGAAAGGTTTGAACAGGACACTCAGTCACCACCAGTTCCCACCCTCCCCTGCCAGCACTGAAGTAAAACAAAAGCTCAATACACACTAAGGGCTTAGGAGGAAGGGGTGTTCTCCTTCCTTCCCCCCACCCCCAAGAATGGGCTGGGGGGGAAGCTAGATTTCCCACCCCTTGCAGTATCACCCATACACAAGTTCCAAATGTGATTCGTAAGAATCAGCAGCTCAATTGGCAATGATAACCCCCACCCACCTCAATTACGTCACCAACAGTCCCACATCAGTACTATTAATGGTACACTAGAAAGTCTAAAACAAAGGAAGCAGATTAAGGTTCTAAATTTATTAAAATTTAAAGCAGACTACCCAACCAAAGAGAAAAGTTTAAAAAAACTGTAGAAATGAACACCCTAAAAGCTATATTGCAATAGCAATATTTATGAATGACTTTAGAACACATTTTCTTTTTCCCTCCATGAGAGCCTTAGGAAACAAAACGGCTCTCAGTATTAGAGAACGTTCCCCAGGCTCCTAAAAAAAAAGTTCATTTTTCATAGACCACTCTTTTCTACTTAAGTCATATTATTTTGAAAACTTTGTGTAGCCATATAATTGTGATTGAGGTTGCACTTCTATACCTGGAGGGTGACCTGAAGAATGGAAGGAAATGTTGTGGACACCTCAAAAGAATCCTTACATATAGGCCAGACCTATTCAGTGTTTGATGCCCAAGACACTTTCAAAGTCAGAAAGGAAAGACAGTTGGTACAAGAAAGACAGCAGTGCTACTTAATCTGACCAAACCAGGAAGCTCACTTGCAAACTAAAACCAAATTTTGTTTCTCTCATTGTGACTGTAGGTAATAAACATATTTTGATAAGCCTCCAGAAAGAGGTAGGATGTCCTTTATTCAGACGTGGAAGTTTTGAGAATTGTATTTAAAAAAAAAAAAAAAACTATACAAGAAAAATCTCTTAGAGGAAAGAGAAGGGACTAGTAGCAAGACAGGCATAATTAAAATGAGTTCTAAAATCTTCCTTCTTTGAGAGGCTTATACTTCAGCCATCCTGGAAGGGAGAGACTGGGTAGTCTGAACACCAATGATCTGAGACAGGATTCTCTACCTAAGCTGTAGTGAACACCTCTAGAATTCAGACTCCGAGAATATGTAACTAACCTTCTGAGCACTGCTGCACTGGTGTTAGTGGACAGGCCATGGTTATTAACCAAGCTTGGAATGCCCCGAGGGTCCAAGTGCTATTCTCATCTTCCTTCAAGTGGGGCACTGTGGCGTCTGTCGTCATGAGCATGTTGCATTTTTACCCTTCAACAGGTGATATCCGCAATGATTTGTACCTAACTCTGGAGAAGGGGGATTTTGAAAGAGGAGGAAAGAGTGTGCAAAAGAATATTGAAGTGACCATGTATGTACTTTATGCAGATGGAGAGATCTTGAAGGTAAGGCTTGATAGTAATTTGGATTAAAAGAGAATGTGTTTCCATGGACTTTGTCCAGATACTCCTTTCCTTTAGGCAGGACTGAATTCAAATTGCCCAATAGTATTTTTTTCCTACCTTCTTTTTCATCCAGGAAAATCTTTTTCATCCAGTGCAGTTTGAAAAGGATTTCTAATGTCATTAAGTTCTTCCATTAAGTCTTCCTAGTGTCTGACCTGTATGCCTCTTATTCCAATTTAGACCTAATCCCTGCAGTTCTGCATTCACCAAGCACAGAGCTGCCTGTTTTTTCTGATGATTACTAGGTTTTACTTTGCCTTTTTGCTCTTTGAGATAACACAGAAAATTATGTTTGTAATTTGATCAGTGATAGGATTTAGATTTTTTATTGCTGGTGCCAAGTTTCAGGACAGAGGAGAACAGATTCAGCCCTAGAAAATTATTTCCAGCAATGTAGCACATTGCAAAGGGTTCTTTGCCATTCTTCATTGAAAATGGAGACTCAGGGGCATGATTTTTTTTTTCTTTTAAGCTTGTCTGTTTTTTCCTCAATCCTGTCACAGTAAAGACCCTGGAGAACAACGGTTAGGCTCCATTTCCAGGGTACTTGTCAGATCAGCCTTTTACAAGCCTCATTTTGGTGTACTGGATCAAACTCCATCATGAGTGAGGCAGAACAGGAATTACTAGTTCTGCTGTTCAGAAGGAAAAGGCTAAGTTAGTTGAAACTGTCTCCCAAAACACAAAAATAAAGGGAAATGTTCACAGGGTTAAAATAGTGATTCATGTATCACTGTAAAACATTAAGTAAATTCAACTCAAGGACCCTAGATAAATATATTCATTGCTTACATGGGAAAGCACCAGAGAGGCAGAGCTACCAGCCACTCATGCATGTGTGGAAAGGGAACTATCCTTAATTTTGTTGCCCAAAACTCCTTCCAGGACAAAGGCAGAACCGTGCTAAGTCTACATCTTTGTAGTAATGTTTAAAAGCCAGAGCCAGATTAAGCCTGACCTATCTTGTTTATGGAAAGTTAATAAAGGTAACCTAAAATGGTCCAACATAGCACTAAGGAAAATTAGAAAGGAGTCTCCCTCTGCCTTGTAACTTAGGGTTCCTTCTTGGTCTGATAAGATATCATGTGGACCCTTCTCAGCAAGATTGAGAAGTACCATGACAATGCAGACACACCAGGCAGTTCTTCCAAGCTTGTCAGTTTGTGTGCTCACCTCTGACCCAAGGAGGATGAAGAGCTGGCTAAGTGCCATCAGGGGTGCCTAGGCTTTTGACATTTTGAGATCTGCAGATGTGTTGGCAGCACTCATAGCTATCCCACGATGCATTTGGCCTGATAGGCCTCAGATTGGGCATTCTTGGCATAATTATACTGTGTATGCAGTTATAGTTACAAAAATACTGAATTTAAGTCAAATACGTATCATCTGGTCAGTTGCAAAAAAAATGACGTTCACATAGGAAAAAATAAAGTATTCTAATGACAGAGAGAAATTGAGGTCCTCATTCCATGAAGATAACATCTTATTTTGCTTCTCTTTTCCAGGACTGTATCAGCTTGGGTTCAGGAGAGCCAAATAGGAGTTCCTACCACTCCTTTGTTCTCTACCACAGTAATAGTCCTCGTTGGGGAGAAATTATCAAATTACCTATTCCCATTGACAGATTCCGGGGCTCCCATCTACGCTTTGAGTTCAGACATTGTTCCAGTGAGTGAGACCTCCCTTCATATTCCCTTGAGGATAAAAATGTAACTATACTCTTGATGTAGAATTGTGAGGATTCTTGGTATGAAAATGAGGAACCAGAAATAGGATGTTATCAGAGGTTCAGAACTATGGGATTTGGAGCAGGAGAGATGGCTCAGCCGTTAAAAGCCATCTGCTGTCCTAAAGGACCTGAATTCAGTTCCCAGCACTGACATTAGATTCACAACTGCCTATAACTTCAGCTCCAGGGAATCTGATGTCCTCTTCTGGCCTCATACATACATGTGTAGTGTACACACAAATGAAAATAATTTAAAAAATCCTTGGGATACAATATAGGCTTTCTCTAATATCTGAAATGTCCATGTTATATGGGGTGTTTTCTTTTGTACTTACTGACTACTTTTAAAGAACTTTTCCCTGTTTTATCAAGACCAGAAATTTAGCTTCTGTGGTGGTCATGGTAGCCTGTAATGCCTTGGGATATGAAATGGAAATTCAGACCAGCATATTTCTCATTATTCTGCAATCAGGTTGCTACCTGAAGTTCAAAAGAGTGTGGGTGACAAACACAAGGGGATTTCTAATAATTGGCTCTGCTTACAGCAAAGGACAAAGGGGAAAAGAAACTCTTTGGCTTCGCATTCTCCCCCCTGATGCGTGATGATGGCACCACACTATCAGATGATATTCATGAGCTTTATGTGTATAAGGTACGGACCTGGCTTTCTTTCATCTCCATCCCTTACCCCACTATGGCCATTCTCAAGTATGATTCTCACTTAAGTGGTTGTCATTGGTCAGGCCAGAGGATTCTAGATGTACATGGTGGGTGACAGTAAGACAACTGTGCCTAGGCCTTAGTTTTCTAAGTGCATTGTCCCTTCTCCTACAGCTAATTCCAGCAGGCCCTTGTTTCCCATGTCTCACTTCAGTAGAGGAGATCACTTACCAACTCTCCTATGCCATTATCATTTTAACTAATGTGCTTCAAGTCCTACTATTTGAGATCATGGTGTTGTCAGTTGCCCAGCATACAATGTATCAGATAGAGGCCACGTATCTTATCATGTCCTAGGAATTGGTGAACAGAAAGCACTCCTGTAAGAGAACCTGCAACCCAAGGTCCAACTTGAGGAAGATAGTAATAAGCATTTACTCAGAAGTTCCCTGGGGACCTGGTTTTTGCATATTGTGTGGCTTAGGAAATATTCTCTGCTCTTTATGTTTGTCTACAGTGTGATGAGAATAGCACATTTAACAACCATGCCCTGTACCTGGGCCTGCCCTGCTGCAAAGAAGACTACAATGGCTGCCCCAATATTCCCTCCAGCCTCATCTTCCAGCGTAGCACCAAAGAGTCTTTCTTCATTTCTACACAACTTTCTTCTACCAAACTCACACAGAATGGTAAGTTATGGTACATGCAAAGTACCCTCCATCATTTTCAGTTGCTTGCATGTGTTAAGGAGGAGACTGTTTCTTCATGATTAAAAAAAAAAAAAAAAAAAAAAGGACCATTTTTGTTTGCTTTTGTTTTTTGAAATAGAAGGAATTGTTCAACAATTATAGCCCACAGAGTTGTCCATGGTTTTGTAGTTGTAGGATTCACATCCAGACTGCAGATATATCTTTGTCCTTTTTTTTTTTTTTTTTTTTTTTTTCCTCAATTAAAGAAACTTTAGGGCTGGAGAGATGGCTCAATGATTAAGAGCACTGGCTGCTCTTCCAGAGGTTCTGAGTTTAATTCCCAGCGACCACATGGTGGCTCATAACCATCTATAATGAGAACTGGTACCCTCTCCTGCATGCAGACAGAGCACTGTATACATAATAATAAATAAATAAATCTTTAAAAAAAAAAAAGAATCTTTGATTCTGTCACAAGTAGGGCTATTACTCTAGATTCCACCTGTCTTTGTCTGAAAGAAACTGAACCTTGCTTAAATTTATGAAGTTCACTATATTTTGGGTTTGCTTTCTAGTGGACCTCCTTGCTCTACTGAAATGGAAGGCCTTCCCAGACAGGATCATGGACATACTAGGGCGGTTGCGCCATGTCAGTGGAGAAGAAATCGTTAAGGTATGTCTCTCACTCAGTCTAAACATGCTGTCTGAATATGGACAGAAGACCTTCCCTGTGATTTCTGCCAATAAACCTCCAAGACCATTTCTCCAAATACATAATAGAGGAATAGCTTGGGAGGTTTAAAACTGGTTTATTACCCCTTAATATTATATTTAAATTATAAATTTTATTTCATGATTTGTTTTATTTCCCACAGAGGAAAAAAAATGATACTAAAGGATAGTAGTAAAAAGTATCTGCTTAGAGTCCATCCCAGTGTTTGTGCTGTCTGAATATCTATGTTTTCTTCTCTCTTTAGGTCTTTCCATTTTTCTTACTTTATAACTCTTTAACACAAACCCAGGCTCTTGACTATAAACACTCTGAATGCTGTTGATTAACTTAACTTGTGGCTGTTAGTTTTGCCCTATTTCTTACCTGGAGTCCATACTAGGGGACTCTTTCTTTATCCTCTAGCACAGCTTATTTCTCTGTGTATCTTTGTGATACTTCCCTGTAATGAAACCGTGTCCTTCCCAGTTGTATTTTTAGGGCTTCTCTGAGCAGCATATGTGCACAATTGTTTTTGGTTAAGATTGTACCAGGCACTTCTGGTAGTACAAGTCCAGCAGGGAAATACTACACACTAGACCAAGCTCTGCTATGGACAGTGGAAGAGCTTTGCGTTTACCATAAAGAGCAATAGAACATCCCTAATTTGCTTCATACTGCTTAGAAATAAATTGTAAATGTTGTATCATTTATATGCTCTGAATGACAATTTAATGACAAGTTTTTTCATTTTTCAAGGCTCCAAACACCCATTGTTATTTACTGTATTTCTTAGTTTTGCATCTTAAAAAAAAAAAAAAAAAAAAAAGAAAGGCATGTTACAGCTGGGTGGTAGTGGCACACATCTTTAATCCCAGCACTCTGGAGGCAGAGGCAGGTAGATTTCTGAGTTTAAGGCCAGCCTGGTCTACAGAGTGAGTTCTAGGACAGCCACGGCTACACAGAAACCTTGTCTCAAAAACCTTAATTTTTAAAAAGGCATATACTTAAAACAAAAAATAGGAACAAATAACACTGTCAGAGTTTTATTCACATCGAGAGCCCTCATTGACTGCATTTCCCTTTCTCCTGGGATACTAATTTCCAAACCAAAAAGTAGCTCTCTGTAGATGAAGCCTAACTCACTGTAACCTCATCCAGATAGACTCCATGTAAGCAGGCTACCGCAGAGTGGGAAAGAGCTGAACTCTCTCAGTCCCAGAAAAGTGATCACAAAGTGAATTGGGTATCAGAGTCACTATTTTCATTTCAAAACAGGTATTCTATATGGATTTTTTTATATATATAATTACTCCTTCCTTAGAAATTTAGTATTGGCCCAGTGAGAAGAGCCACTTTAGATCTTCTACAAGAACCTTGAGCTATATATAATCCCAAGAGTCCACCTAATTATCCCTTATCTAGGTAGAGGCAGGTACTAGATAGTTTTTTGTCACACTTTTAAGATTCTTGGAGATGTTTTGTTGTTTATTGGGAGCCAAATCATTGTTGTATGAAAATTTGAGCATGCATCCGCAGTCCTGAGACATGACTCCTTGTTTCTTGTGTTGTTACAGTTTCTGCAAGATATCTTAGATACACTCTTTGTGATTTTGGATGATAATACAGAGAAATATGGCCTTTTAGTTTTTCAGTCTCTGGTAAGTCATTTCCTGAATTTCAGTTTTTTTAAAAAAAATGCTTATTCTTCTCTCATACAATACATTACAACCAAAGCTTTTCCTCCCTCCAGTTCTCCCAGCTTCCCTCACCTCCTTTCTCCCCCAGCTCCACTCTCCAACCCTCTTCTCACCCGACAAAAGAGCATGCCTTCCAAGGACATCAACTGAACATAACGCAGCGAGATCCAATAAGAGAACAGGCACAAACCTTCTCGTCAAGGTGGACAGGGCGACCCAACAGGAGAAGGGTCCCACAGCAGGCAGAAGAGTCAGAGACAGCCCCCGCTCCTACTATCAGGCGTGCCCCCAAACACCACGCCAGTAACCATAATATACTTGCAGAGGATCTAGCGTAGATCCATGCAGGCTCTGTGATTGCCTCTTCAGTCTCTGTGAGCCCCCATTAACCCTACTTAATTGATTTCACTGGTGGTGCTCTCCCAATGTCCTCTGTCCTCAAACCCTCTTGCTCTTTTCAAAATTCCTCCTACCTCTCTTCTGTGGGGTTCCACAAGCTCTGGGGAGAGACATGGTAAACCAGGGCTCTCTGTCTGCCCAATGTTTAGCTGTGGTCTCTGCATCTGCTCCCATCAGTTGCCAGAGGGAGTCTCTCTAATGTTGACTGGTCTAGAAACTGATCTGTAAATATACTAGAACAATGTTAGGAATCATTTCATTTAGCGTTTTGTTTTCTTTTGTTTTGTTTGGCCAGTCGTATTTGGCTCTACTCTTAAGTCTCTGGGCTTTCTAGCCTCTGATTCCTGGTCATCCAGGCAGTATTGGGCATGGGCTCTTTATTAATCATTCTTATCATGTGTTTCAAAAATCTAAAGAAAGCATCTTATTAGACTGAGTTAGCAGATTTGTTTTCAGTAGAAAAAGGTCTGAGAATTATCACCCAAGAAGACTTAACTAGCCAGGGCTAGAGAGGTGGCTCAGAAGTTAAGAGCACTGTGTGCTCTTCCAGAGGTCCTGAGTTTGGTTCCCAGCAACCTCATAGTAGCTCACAACCATCTATACTTGGATCTGATGCCCTCTTCTGGCATGCCGGTGTACATGCAGATAGAGCTCTCATATACATAAAAATACAGAGGGCCTCTGAAAGACTCTACCAGCAGGGTATCAAAGCAGATGCTGAGACTCATAGCCCAACTTTGGGCAGAGTGCAGGGAATCTTAGGAAAGAAGGGGGAGATAGAAAGACCTGAAGAGGACAGGAGCTCCACAAGGAGAGCAACAGAACAAAAAAAAAAAAAAAATCTGGGCCCAGGGGTCTTTTCTGAAACTGATATTCCAACCAAGGACCATTCATGGAGATAACCTAGAACCCCTGCACAGAGGTAGCCCATGGCAGTGCAATCTCCAAATGGGCTCAGGGGAACAGGGGAACAGGGACTGTCTCTGACATGAACTCAGTGGCTGGCTCTTTGATCACGTCCGCCTGAGGGGGGAGCAGCCTTACCAGGCTACAGAGGAAGACTATGAAAGACATTCCTGATGAGACCTAATAGGCTAGGGTCAGATGCAAGGGGAGGAGGTCTTTCCCTGTCAGTGGACTGGGGAAGGGGCATGGGAGGAGATGAGGGAGGGAGAGAGGGCGGGGTTGGGAGGGGAAGAGGGTGGGGCTACAGCTAGGATACAAAGTGAATAAGTTGTAATAAATGAAAATTTTATTATAAACCAAAAGACTAACCAGCCAACATACACATCAGACCTCTCCAAGATCAAGTTTGAAGAACTGGATTTGAGAGCTAGAGAGATGGCAGTTAAGAGCACATATTACTCTTACAGAGTTTGATCTTAACTCCTAAGGTTGTTTTAGTGAGAATGGACAGTGATACTGGTGTTTGGCACACTTTGCTGAATATATGCAGTCCCACAGGAAAGTGCACATTCAAGAAGAATCAGTTCTCCAATCTAAGGGATAGGGAACTGAAGGAAAAGCTAGAATGGACACTTGCAGTTTGCTCCTGGCTTTTCTTCTTCCTTGCTTCCTTGGTCATGAGACCCTTTTTGAAAACACATAGCTTTCCACAGGCTTAAATTACTCCCTTCTCCAAGTTTTGGAGGATACCTGAGTATTTTTGCCACTTACACAGATATTAAATAATCTGCCCCTGATCCATATTGTGCCACTCATCATTGTTGTGAATGGAGAGGCTCAGGGAAACATAGTCACAAACCAATAAAGTACAGATTTTGATTAGAAAGTCAAAGGAAGATTAAAAACAAGACATAAATACAGACAATGGAAAACTTATGTTTAATTCCCATAGGGAACACTAACAGTTTGCTCTTTGAAGAACAAGACTTTGTTCCTGCCAAGGTATTTTTTTTTTTTTTTTGAGGCCTCTGTCGAACTATGATGGCCGTTTTTCTGTTTGTCTCAGGTTTTCATCATCAACCTGCTTCGAGACATAAAATATTTCCACTTCCGGCCTGTGATGGACACATATATCCAGAAGCACTTTGCTGGAGCCCTGGCTTATAAGTAAGTTGTATTTGGTGTCATTATAACAATTTGCATTTGAGAAGAAAAATCAGAAATTTAAGAAGTTCAGTTGTAGCTATCATTCATTTAGCTGACTCGTTAAACTTTACTTTTTTTAAATTGTGGATATATATATATATATATATATATATATTTATTTATTTATTTATTTATTATAAAATGTATTATCTTAACCATTTTCAAGTTATGAGTCCATGTAGTTAAACCTTACTCGTATTGTTATACAACCTTCACCAGAACTCCACAAGTCAAAACTCTCTAAAACTGTGTGATGTCCAACGTCTCAGTCTACCCAGCTTCTAAAAGCAGGAGGGAGTAATTGAGTTCCAGCCTCACTTCTCTATTGCCCTGCAGCTGGGATGTGTGGTGTCTTCAGCAGTAAGATCTTAACAACTAGAGAGCAATGGCCTTGCCTATGTTGTTTTGTTGTCTCTGGACCTTCCTGACCAATAACTCACAGGGAGGTATGTTACACCTGGCGCTGGGATATTTGTTTGATTGTCTGTGGCTTCTGAGATTGACTCCACTCCTGTAGGTTACCTCCATTCAAATTCATTTTTTAAATATATTTTTAAATTAGCTTATAGAGTACTAGGTTTCCATATATTTTCTTGTACCCTTACTTTTAGTTAACCTTTCTCCCTAGTTAGACCTTACCAACCCAGTATTCCTCCCATTTCCCATGTGCTGTACTGTCTGCTCCCCTTTAGGCCTCTTTCCAGCTACCTACTCTAGTTCTAATAATTTTGTTGTAAGATCATCAGTCACACACACACACACACACACACACACACACACACACACTGATGATCACGATGACTAGTAGAGCAAGAAATGAACATATGTGAAATCTAAATACAGATATTTTTTGCTTCTTCAAATTTAGATACCTTTAAATTATTTTTCTTACCTTTTTGCTCTAAGTAGAATTTCTCTCTATAAACAAACAAACAAATTATTAAAAACAAGTGTTCTTTCCTCTATCCTCATCTTAGAATAGCTGTCACAATGTGAGCTATGGGCTTTCTGCTGGGAGATTAAAATATAGTTTATTACATAGTTGCTGTACTTTTTCTTTTAAGAACTAATGGTAGAGCTAATGGTAAGAAATTGTCTTACTTGCATGAGAAATATGAGAAGTTAACATTATAGCATCCCAAAAAAGTGATCAAATAAAACAAAAAGATACTTCATATGAAACAAATTAGCTAAGACCATTGGATAAATAAGATACTGCTATTTTATGAAGTTAGCATAATTTTTACAGCCATAAATAATGCTTGACAGTGGTAAAGCTGCAGAGCTCTTAAGAGTTCAGATACTTTGACACTTCAGAGAGTATACACTGTGTTTTATGTGTCATCATCTTTGTTTTCAGCAATCACTTTGAGGTAGACTGTTATTTCCTCCCTATGTCAGATGAATAGAATGAGGCACAGTGGGTTAAATAACGCACCTAAGAACACAAAACTGCATACTAGTGGACCCAACAGCTTGTACCCTTTACCTCTATGATCTCTTGCCATATAAATGTGTATACCTTCCTGACAGATCATGGAACAGCCGCTTTAAGATATAGTCCCTTAGAGAGATTAGATGTAGCAGGCCAGGAGAAATTGGGCTACATATCTTCTGTAGTCATTCCCTAAAAACAGAGAACTGACAGGCACTTGGCTGTGATTATTAGAGGAATCCCAGCCTTCCCTCTGCTGCTAAGGACAAGACATCTTTAAACTATGGTCTCACCTAGTGCCTGCCTCCATGTCAAAAGTCATATAGGCTAGGCCAAAAAGTGTGAAGCTTCTCCACTTAACTCTGGAAACCCATATGACTCAGAAACCCTGTTTATTCCGTAAATTTAAAAGCTCTTTCCTTTAGAGCCTCCATATATACTATACAGGTCATTTGTTTCTTCTAATGCTTTTACACTTCAAGGTTTGCTCATGGCCCCTTTAGTTGTGGCATTCTGTCTCTTAATAAAGCTTATTCTGAAGGGTAATTTGTTTCAGTTCCTTTAGACAAACCTACTGCTTATTTTCTTTTAAACTGTAATACCTAGCAAACTCGTTGCTCTCAGGTGGCTTGGTCCTCAGGAGATGAGGTGTAGAATGGAATGGCATTTAGAACCATACACTTTTATTCAGTCTACTAATTAGTGTTGTATGTGCTGGAGATGTTGCTACTTAAGAAAATAAAAATACATAATGGAATCTAAGTTTGGGGGGAAATGAGAGTGAGCATGTTTGTGATTACCAATAAAATTCTGTAGCTCCTGATGGACAGAGAGTGTATCTCTCTTGGATAATATGAGAATTTCACAGCTATGATGGGCCTATCACTGTAGCTCATCAGCAAAGTATTATTTCCTGTTTGACAGTTCTTTGTTGATTTTTCTATTTGACTAAATACAAATTTGAGACTACATTGCATTTTGATTAAAATGGAATTTCTGTAAATGCCCTATTTCTAGGGAGCTCATCCGCTGTTTGAAGTGGTACATGGACTGCTCAGCAGAACTGATTCGGCAGGACCACATTCAGGAAGCCATGCGGGTAATGCCCTGAGCTTGCCATATATAAGGGAGGCATTCTACAGTTATTTGTGGGTAGTGCCATTAGCATGGTGCTCATGACTACTGCAGTCTGCTGGCCTGCTTTCAGGAATGAATGCCTTGATACATGCAGTCCCTTTCCTCCCCTCAGTTGTGCTCTGGAGCGCAACTGATCATTACCCATGATCATTTTACCTGGAAGCAGGAAGTACACATGGAGCCTAGCCATTTTTACATTTTTTTACCATCTGACTCACTTTTACCAGTAGGATCAGTTTGCACTCCCACTGTCTCAAGTATTGATACTGCTTCTAAGCTAATACTGGTAGTAACATTTTTTAGAATCAACTCTGAATACCATTTCCTTCTTTGGTGGCTACTACATATTTACGATTTTGGGGACTGTGTTAAGTAACTAAAAAGGGAGAAGTGGATAGGTATACCATATGAAGATGGTTGTAAAGATAACCTTATAACCTTGGCCTTAAGAAGAATCTGGAGTCTTCTGTGGTCTGACGTTAGCATGGTGCCTTGAATAGGTTCCCTGGCAGTGGAGCTTGCTTTTCACTGCTGGGTGGCTCCAGGTGATAAGAGGCTCCTTACTGGAAGTCAGCTCTGGTCTGTTAACTTCTTCTTATAGCTACTCTCTATACAATAAAGAGCCAGATAAGAGGAATGAAATCCTTTTTTTCAAATGTTTTCAAGATGGCTTCCATGTCTTCTAGAAATGCCCTAAAATTGACCATACTTTCTGTATCTGTCCCTGTCTTGTCCTGTATTGGGTTATCTTTCCTTAAAGTTTCTTTTTAGTTATGTTTTCCACACTTTCTGCATAGTCATAAAAGGAGAATGGCTTCAAAGTTGTTCTTTTTTTTTCCTGTCTTCTTTTAATATCATATATCTATACTAAGTACAGGCCCTGTGCCATATATTGTTCTTCTTGCTTATATGGTACAGTGTAACAGATAGCATGGGTAGAATTAATCACAAATCTCTTTTTACTTTATTTGACTCTCAGAGCATACTTTAAACACCTGAAGGTATAAGTTTTATTTTTTTCCTCCTTCATACTAAATAGTTATTGTCTGTTCTGGGTGCTAAAAAGCGTATATAGGACCAGCTCATCTCCTAAAAGTTGAGGTAAATGCAAAAGATTCTGTGTGAACCCATTACTTAATTACTTAAGGGTGCTATAGAAAATTTGGAAGATTTTCCCACCCACGTTGGCATGCCATTACGCAGGTCTTGTTTAGAAAGCTGTATTGTTAAGATTGCATGGGTGCATCTTCCCTGTCTTAGAAGACACTATCTCAAAATATACATCCTAGTCCTCTTGCCCTTACAATTTTCTGCCCGTCTTCTGTCATATTCCCTGAGTCTGAGGTGTAGGGACTGTATTGTAGGTATACAATACAGTTGGGGTTGAGCACCCCACAATCGGTTGTTCTTTGCATTGTTATTAGTTGAGGATTTTTAAACTAGTACCTATCTGCTGTTAAAAAAAAAAAAAAGAAAAAAAGAAGCTTCTTTTATAAAGAGTGAGCACTACGTTTATCTGTAGGAATAAGAATAAGCATTTAAAATACAGTTAGCAATTACACTGGTTTAGGAAAGTGGCAGTAGTAGGTTCTCCTCTAGGGCCCATGACCTCTCGAGCCATGAGTAGTTGGCTAAGTTTATAATATCAAACATTAATTCTCTCTTGTTGAATGAACCTTGAGTCTCATTAAACAGCTGTCAGTTGCATCTCAGATAGAAGTGCCTCTTTACAGCAATGGGAATATCTTGCTGGGCTAGTCATTTTTGTGGTTCATAGGCTTTAAAGCTAGATAAAGCTAGATAAAGCTTGATTGCTTTTCTATTTTGACAGCTTACATAGCACCTATGAGGATTAGTCTCAGGAAAGTGGCTTCCAGGTCAATTTCGTCTTGTTCCTTCAAGTCTGTTGTCTGAAGTGTGTGATGTTTTTCAACAATAGAGTCTTACCTTCAAGTTCTAGGCAGCAGCCAAGGCTAATGGTAATAGCCTGTATCTCTTGGACTCCCTCACTAACAACTTGAAGGGAAATATCCCATGCTTTACACTGAAGGTTTTGTTAGATAGTCTATGGATGTTGGGGAGAGCATTATTACCCCATGTGGTATGTCTTAGTCACTGTTCTGTTGCTGTGAAGACACACCATGACCAAGGCAATTCTTAGAAAAGAAAGTATTTAATTGGAGGCTTGCGTACAGTTTCAGAGGTTTAGTCCATTATCATCATGGTGGGAAGCATGACAAGCAGGCACGGCAAGCATGGTGCTGAAGAAGTAGTTGAGAGCTACATCCTGATCCACAAGTAGCGAAAGAGACACTGGGGTTGGCATGAGCTTTTGAAACCTCAATGCCCACCCCAAGTGACACACTTCCACCAGCAAGGCTATACCTCCTAATCCTTCTAATCCTTTCAGATAATGCTACTGGCTGGTGTTTAAGCATTCAAATATATAAGTTTCTGGGAGCCATTCTTATTCAAACCACCACATGGTATAACTCCATTAAACACACAAACACACATACATACACACACACACACACACACACACACACACACACACACACCAAAGTAGCTTTTATTTGCCTGAAGTAATTGTTATCTTCAAGGCTTATTGCCTCCCTATGCCAGCCTAGGCCTAGTCCTGGAGACTTCTAGCCTCTGGGTCCAATCTAATCTAGGCCTAGAATGCTTTTAGCCTCTGGGACTTACTGCTGAATAAACTCACTCTTTCTAGTTCTTTCTAAACTCTTGCTGGCTGGCCCAACTCAGCTGTTCTGGTTCAAACTCCTCTCCAGCTGACTGATTCAATCTGGCTTCTCTCAGTTTCTCACTGAATTGCTCTGCTTGACCTCAAACTAACTCTAGAAATCTAATCTTCTGGCTCCTCATTCTCTGACTTATTCTGTCTTCACCTGTGTCTAGCTTGTTCTCACCTCAACCTGTGTTTGTAAACCTCTCCCAGTAGAACTGCCTCTTCTTTTTCTCTGTGTGTGCTGCTTTCTGGTTTCAGCTGCCTCTGCTGACCTGCACTGAACTCACTAACTCCACTGCACTGCCTTTCGACTTACTCTCAATCAAACTGCCTGAATCAGACTTACTAGAACTCATGTCTCTGTCTCCTGAGTGCTGGGATTAAAGGCATGCAACACAAAGCCTAGACCAAACTTTTCTTTACCTGAAACTTGCTTTATACCAGGCTGGCTTGAACTGAGAAATCTGCTTGCCTCTATGTCCTGGGGTTAAAGGCATGTCTGTATTCCAGCCAGATCACACAGACCTAGAAGGTCTTTGGATGTGATCTCTTGCCAAGCAGCCATGTTCTGAATTCAAATTCTTGTACACACATGCTTGCATTTGTGCATATGTGTGTGTTTAAGTAAACACCAAATGATGTTTCACTTTGGTTTTATCAGCTATTGTTAGTGTTACTTAACTTTCCTCCCTACTCTTCCCCACATAAAGTCTCCCTCCCTGTTTTTCCCATTTCTCTTTCATAGCACCAGTCTTGTACTACCCTTCCTGTCCTTGCGTCATCCCCTCATGCTTCCTTTTTATTTTTCTTGTTTCTGTGGTTACACCCAAGCTACACACTAACATCTAAAGATCCAGAACTAGGATCCACAAATGAGAGAGAATATGTGGTGTTGGTCTTTCTGAATCTGGGTTCCCTCACTCAGCATATTTTCTAGTTCCATCCATATGCCTGAGAATTTTATTATTTCATTTTTTTATAGCTAAATAGAATTCCATTGTGAACATGCACCACATTTCCAGTATCCATTCATCAGTTGAAGATATTAAAGTTGTTTCTAGTCCCTAGTTATTTTGAATAGAGCGACAGTAAACACTACTGAGCAAGTATGTGTGGAATAGAATATGAGGATAGCTTTTGACAAGGTTGTCCACAAATATAGTGTACTTTCCACTGCTAAGCTGTATCAGGGACCTTGGAAGGGACCAAGAGGTCCAGGTACAGTGAATCTTCTTGGTGATAAAACAGTTGTACTAGAGGATGGAGATTAATCAGTAGACAAGAACACTTTCTGAGCAAGCTTGAGGACCTGAGTTGGAATCCTAGCACCCAAGAAGCCTGGCCACAAGCATGCCTATAGCTCCAACTCTATGGGAGGCAGAAATGAGGACCACTGGGGCTTTCCCAGTGCCAGCCCAGCTCCAGATTCTGAGAAACCTTGTGTCAAAAGAATAATTCAGATACCTGAAGTCTTCCTCCAGCCTCCGCGCATGCACACAGGTGTGTGCGCAGACCATTGTATGTGCCATCACACATTGCCTCTCCTCCCACGCTCCTGCTCACAAAGGGAAAACCTGCAGTAACTTCCAGTCTCCTCTCCTTTCAGATGCATTGATTAAAAAAAGGACAGAATAGCTGCTTTAGCTTCAACTAAATGCTTCATTCTCTCCAAAAAGGGTTGGGAGCAGCCCTTGAATCTTGAGCGAATACCCTAAGATGTACCCTTCACCTTTGACCCCACTCTGTCTTGGGATCTCAGAGATAGCAACCTGGTTATCATTAGTGAGGAATTGTGGTAATTAAAGATTTTAATGGACTTGTTTTTATTACCTCTGTCCAGGTTGCACAGGACTTTGACACCATCCTGTGTTGTACACTGTTTTATGTCATAGAATCTAGTAAAAGAACTAAGCCATCGTGTGTGAAAATGCAAGCAACTTTGCTATTAGATTCCGCTCTTCTAAAACTAGAAAATACTGCTTAGTGCATCTCCTTGTAGTCATCATTTCTGACTGAAAAGTAAACAGCTAAACAATTGGACAGTGGTGATAAAATACTTTCTTTTTAAAATGCAAGATGTTGGGGTTGGAGAGATGGCTCAGGGGTTAAGAGCACTCTTATCCCCTGCTCTTTTAAAGGTCCTGAGTTCAATTCCCAGCAATCACATGATGGCACACAACCATTTATAATGGCATACATGCAGGCAGAATACTGTATAAATAATTAATAAATCATTTTTAAAAATAAAATGAAAGATGTGTGTAGTACATAACTAGCTATAATATAATAGCATTTCTAGGGTTTCTTTTTTTTAAGAAAAATAACTTTTTTCTATTTTCCATGTTCTACATTATCACAGACCCTTTGCCTTTTGAGGCAACTAACAGTGAGACATGTAACGGGCTTACTTTCTATCCTAAGCATGTGGAAATTTTGAGATATTTCTCTGGGAGTGAAACTATTTGTGCTATAGTAGAAGAAATAACTCCAGGAATTAGTTACTGGCATAACTAATAAATGAGACTAGATCTTGGTATTTTATATTTTCTGCAGCACAGGCATAAAGAATCACTAAAGTGTAGATACCCAGGAGCAAAAGCAGAACATAGCTTGCAAGTATCTATTTAGATTTGTAAATTAACAGAGTTTTCAGGCTTTCTATTCACTGGATGTTATAGTACCCTGAAACAGGGCACTATATGAGACCACTGTTCTTGTTACTTTTTCCATTGGTGTGATCAAATTCCCAATTTAAAACAAACTGTTTTTGCCTACAGTCAAGAGGAATGCTGTTCATCATGGCAGGAAAGACCTGCAGGATAGGCTTGGTCTATGGCACAATAAAGAAAGAAAGGAAAATACAAGTCCTTTTCTGGCTTTCTCCTTCCCTGCCCCTTAAAAAATTAAATTACTTTTATTTGTTTGTTTATTTGGAGAGGTGGAATGTACATGTAGAGGTCAGAGAACGACTTATTAGCACATTTTCCTAAACTAACAATCACCCATGTGAACCAAATTTTCTGAGCGAAACCTGACAGGCAAATGCTAAAAAGAGGCTAAAGGTTGTTTTCTTTTAAGTATTTCAAGTAACTGGGTTTCATTTGTTTTAATCTACTCTCTTTGCCTTTCCATTATCTGAGATAATATAGCATTTCTTTAATTAAAAAACTGTTCTCTTAAAGGAGAATTGCTCTGTTGAGAAGTATCACCAAATTGCAAGGATCCATCTTTCTGCTCTTAAGTCATTTTTTGAGAATACTGCCTTCTCTTTTGCTTATGAACTGTTAATGGCAGATGTCATGGCTGGAAGGAACTGGAGAGTGGATGTGTCAGGCACACTAGCTGCTGTATAACCTAGGCCTAGTTTTTTTTTTTTTTTTTCTAGACCTCTTTGACCTTCTATGAGGTAGAAGTTCCTTTTCCAGACCCCACCTGTCACGTAAAGTTTCAGGAAATTTCTTAAAAGCCCTTCTCTCCTTATCATAAACTCAGGTAGTTAGACCGCGTGTGATGGCAATGCCTGTAAGCCAGCACTCCAGGGATGTGCAGGTGGCTTGTAAGTCTGAGGCCAGCCAAGGCCAGATAGCAAGACCCTGCTTCCAAATAAGAGGGAGGGAGGGAGGGAGGGAGGAAATGAGGGAGGGAGGGAGAGAGAGAGGGTAGCTAAGCTATATCCTGTCTTTGGGTTTTTACGTTTTCAGGTCTTTAAAAAAAAATACAGGAGCTGGAGAGATGGCTCAACAGTTAAGAGCACTGGCTGCTCTTGCAGAGGACCTGGATTCAATACCTAGCACCCACACTAGATATACAAATGGTATAGATATAGACATACATGCAGGAAAACAAATACATATTTTTTAAAAAACAAAGAAGCTGAATTTTCTTTGCGTTCTGAATGTTCTTTAATTTAACTCTTTGAAATTTTAACTGTCTATGGCTACTTAGTTCCAGAACCTAGAATATTATTTATAAAATCATTTGATCATTCTCTCAGTAAACAGACAGCTTCTGCTTAGTGACAGTTTGGATCTTTGAAAAAAATATTTTTTTTTAAATAAATTGCCTATCCATAGTTGGAATCACCTGTCACCTCACTTTTTGCTTTTTTTTAACCTTACATTTTTTTATTTTATTTTTTTTTTATTTTATGTGCATTAGTGTTTTGCTTGCATGTATGTCTGTGTGAGAGTGTCAGATTCCCTGGAACTGGAGTTAGAGACAGTTGTGAGCTACCATGTGGGTGCTAGGAATTGAACCCAAGTATAGTCTGGAAGAGCAGCCTGTGTTCTTAACTGCTGAGCCATCTCTCTAGCCCCTGCCCTTACGTTCTTGTTATGTGATTTTCTGACCATTTTAAATGTCCATTACTTTCTCTCTCAAATTTCTAGGCCCTAGAGTACCTTTTCAAGTTCATTGTTCAATCACGAATCCTGTATTCAAGAGCAACATGTGGGATGGAAGAGGAACAATTCCGGTCAAGCATCCAGGAGCTTTTCCAGTCTATCCGGTTTGTGCTGAGTCTGGACAGTAGAAACTCAGAAACACTCCTCTTCACTCAGGTCTGTGAACGGTGGAAAATAGTATGGGGTTTCCTGTTCCTGTTGTGTTGGAATTTGGGGGGGGGGCGGGTTCGAGACAGGGTTTCTTTGTGTAGCCTTGATTGTCCTGGACTTGCTTTGTAGGCTCGGCTGGCCTAGAACTCACAGCTGCCTCTGCCTCCCTGAGTGCTGGGATTACAGGCGTGCACCACACCTGACTGACTGGGGGATTTTCCAAATTATTTAAATTTTTTGACAGTTTCATCTGTAACTTCTGATTCCTTTTCCCCTGGCCCTCTTTTATCTCCTTTTCTTCCTTAACAACTTTCTGCTCTTTCCTACTAGTCCTTTTCCAATATTATTGAGTTCTGGCTTGGTTTTGTGGCCCATTGAATTTAATCATGGCCATCTGTGTGACCACTGGATTGGAACTTCTCTCAGTGCCTGGTGGGGTATCCAGTGGGTACACAACTGAAGGCAGTGAGTTCCCCTCCTCTCTGAAGCTATTAGTAGCAAGTAGTTTAGTAGTAGGGGTAGGACCCCCCGAGACCCTCCTCCATCCATGCCTTACTATTGACAGTCACATTGTGGGGCAGACATTTACACCTACTGTGGGGATGGGGTTTTGCTGCTGGGATTCTTTGTCTTAGCAGGTGGTTTCCTTGTCCTGATTCCAGAAATGCAAAAAACTGTGACAAGAATCTGTGTGTTGGGAAAGAGGTGATTTACAAGTAAATATTTGTTAGAACAAAATGCTGCTCTTTGCCTCAGCTGTGAGGTATGAAAGAGTTTAGTGGCTTTATACTAGGAAAGCGGCAGAACTTTGTTAGTATGACTTCTCTTTAGACTAAATCTGTCAGTTACCATGCTGTAGTTAGTATGAACATAGCATGCCTAGGGAACATTCAAAATACATAGGGAATTTTATTTCCTAGTTAATTTTTATTACAACTTGCCTGTTACAGATGTTAAGAATGGGATAAATTGAAAGCTAATAGGAAAAATTGAATGCATTGACTAAGAATTAGAGCTAGATTCTTTTAGAAATATCAGTGTTAGAAATTTTCTTCCTCATATCAAAATTTTCTAACCAGCTAGTCTATTACCTTTACCAAGCAAACTTGTGCTATAATAAACCAAACATCATTACTTGACCCACATCGGGTTATTTTCTATTATCAAATTACTATGCTTTTATCTAAGAGATATAATCCTTTGGCTTCTTGAAGCCAATTATGCCAAAAGGTGTCAACAGAGATCAGATAGTGTCTCTATGTCTACCCTTTCATTACTGCATGTGTTATTAGGGAAGTGTGTATTTAAACCCTATCTCATTTGAGTTTAGAATAGTCAACTATTTTTTTTTCTTCTGCTTGCCTCTCTATATTGTCTCTTGATGCCCATAAATTGCCTTTAGGTTCCTTGGCCAAAGAGCAGGTGATCATCTGGGAGCTGTACACCATAAAGAAAACCTCAAGGTTTTCAAGAGCCTCTCTAAGGAAACTCCTTCATGATCTCATTTTTAAAAGTACCACAGGAAACTCAATATTTTTCTCCTCAATTTTCTCCCTATTTATCTGTTTCTTCTAATAGGGGCCAAGAGTACCTACTGCTTCTCCCCCCAGCCAAAAATAGTTACAGGGAGATTGAAGGTAGCTAACAGAGGAGAATAGATAGCTTTCTGGGTATTTGGCAATGCTTTGTACAAACAGTGGTCTCCTCCCACATCAGAACAGATAGCTTAGACCTACGTGATAGACCTCATACCAGCTTAGCTATGTTTAACGGTCAAATCTGATTCTTTGCTGCCAAGCTTGTTTCATGAGTTTCAGAACTCTTGAAAAATTTACTACCCAATTAGACTATCTTTGATCATGACTATCAGAAGTTGTGAGATTGTGTCTTTCTTTTCTAGCGTATAATTGCAGAAAATTTCACCATTTAAAGGAAGAAATCAGCTACAGTGTTATTACTGAGTGTGACATACTCCCCAATTGCTTGTATGTTGGTTTTAACTGCTGTAAAACAATTTCTCTGATATTCCATGGAGTTACTAACCTGAAGACAGAATTTAAATGAATTTTACACGTTAGTCTGGCCTTAACAGAAAGGACAGTAATATAAGCCTTTCCCATGGCATAAATTTTCACTGCACACCATTATCTACTGTGCTGCCCGATGAATCATTTAAGAAAAACATACTCCCCACAAAGCCCAGCTCACTTGTTAAAAGTGACCTGTTACCTTCTGGTCTTAAGGTGCCACTATTTCCCTTTGTAAACCGTGTTCGTATTAGTGGTATAAGAAGACTAAGAAGTCCAAAAAATTTTCCTTCATGGTGCTTTCAATAAATAGTGGAAGAAAATAAGAGCCAGCTCATCTTAGCTTCTTTTCTTGCCACTATTGTAAAATACTGTCACAAAAGGAACTTAAGGGGGAAAAGTTTATTCTGCTCATAGTTGGAGGTGCAGTTCATCATAGTGGAAGTCAAGGCAGCAGGAGCTTGAAGAGGCTGGTCACATTACATACCCAGTCAAGAAGCACAGAGCAACGAAGGCATGTTGCTGCTCAACACTTCCTCCATTTATGCAGTTCAGGATCCCCTGCCCAGGAAATAGCCCTGCTACGATAAAGATGGGTCCTACGTTAGTTAACATAATTATGTTAATCTCTCACAGGTGTTCCCAGAGAGACATCTCCCAGGTGATCCTAGACTTTGACAAACTGACAGCGTCACAGAGCATTTACTCCAGACCTGTTGTGATCTAGGTACCCTTCTGGAAACAATATGCCTAATTCTTCCCATATTCCAGTAATAGCACTGTCCCTGTTTCATACTTGAGAAAACAAAGGATTAAGGCAACCACCAAACACATAGTAGGCAAGTGATAAAACTGAGAATTTATTTATATTGAGTTTTGTTATGTCATCCAGGCTGGTCTTAAACTTTCAACCTCTTCCTTCAACCTCCTGAGTAGCTAAAATTACAGATATGAAGCACCACACCTGGCTTAAAGCTGGAATTTGAACTCATATGTGTCTAATTTTAAAATCTATTATTTTTTTCCTATAGTGTTCTGCCTCTCAAAAGTTATGGATCAATATTATCAGATTGGGGCAGCAAGATGGCTCGGCAGGTAAAGGCTCATGATGCCAACCCTGATGACCTGAGTTTGATCACCAGGTCCCACATGGTGAAATGAGAGAATCAACTCCCATAAGTTGTCCTCTGACCTCCACATGAGCATGTGCTCCCCCCCACACTAAATAAATAAGTAAATGTAATTTAAGTGAATAAACAAATAAAACTACTAATGCCATCATGCTTCCCCTACCTCATTAGAATAAATTAGTACATTTTCCTCAAGAGACCACATCTTGCTTCCGGAGCTTAGATCCTAGAAGCCCATGAACGCATATGTTTTCTCTCTCCCTCTCCTCTTCCCTTCCCTCACTCTCTTCCTCTCTACTCCTCTCCTTATTTGGGCCTTGTTTGAGTCACTTAATTCTTAGGCAACATTATCAGTAGCTCTCAAGACTTTATAGCTGAATGAATCCATATGTTTTTCATACTTCTGAATTTATACTTGAGAGTATCAGGGAACACATACAGGAAATTCACTTACATGTTCTTCAGATTACCTACATGATTATATACAAATATGACTATCCCTGGAAAATAGTCTAGTTCTTATAGTTAGGTTACTGCTCTTCATGGAGTCCAGCTAGTGCTTCTTGAAGGTACTCAGCTTTCATTAGAAACCAAAATTGAAAAGTCAAGAGCTTAATCATAAAGACTAAAAGTTTGAATACACTTTATGAGGAAAAATAGCTGTTCCTTAAGCTATGTTGTGAAATTTTCTCCTTATACTTTTCTTGTCTGCAAATGCTAGGCAAATAATGAAAACCCTAGTAAAAATCCCTTGTTTTGTTTTATTTTTGCTCTAAGAGTGCTATAGGGATTAGTAGAGTCAAGGGCCAAAGGAAGAACCCTCTCAAGGCAGGGGTGCTATGGTGCCTTCTGAAACTCTTTCAGCCTCATACCTTTGAACTAAGAAGATAAACACAAACTTAGCTTTGAGCTAACTACTGCTTTCCTTGCTCCCACAGGCTGCACTACTTAATTCTTTCCCCACCATCTTTGATGAGCTGCTGCAAATGTTTACTGTACAAGAGGTAGCAGAGTTTGTGAGAGGCACACTGGGGAGCATGCCCAGCACTGTGCACATCGGGCAGTCGATGGATGTTGTGAAGCTGCAGTCCATCGCCAGGACAGTGGACAGTCGCCTGTTTTCCTTTTCAGGTAAATTAAGTTGAAAAGGGAGTCAGATTTTATTTCTTCCCTTTCTGGATAGTAGCCAAGGTTAAATTGTTCAAAGTGTTAGTTTAACAACTATGATGTAAGAAACCACTAACCCTTAAAGTGTAAAGATTTTAATAATCCATGTGAGAAACTTAACCAAGACCTAGGCTTGCTGCTTCTCTTTCAATTTACTCTTAGGAACCCATAACTTAGGCTGTGCTCATAGGATGTTGTGTTAGTTCATTCATCCCTTGACAGTAAAATTCCATAAACTAGGTAGATTTAAAACAACAAATACTGTTAGGTATAATGCCAGGTGAATTTCTGTGAATTTGAGGCCAGCCTGATACACACACACACACACACACACACACACACACACACACTTGTGTGTGTGTACACATAAGGGCACATGCCTTAACTCAGCACATAAAAGTAAAACTCATTCTTGGCTCCATATGAAGCTTAAGGTCAGCCTGGGTTACATGGAACCCTATCTCAAAAAAAAAAAAAAAAAAAAAAGGCTCAACTGCTTAATTTTTACAGTTCTAAAGATTAGGAAGTCCTGGATCTAGGTACCAATAGGTTTGATGTCTAGTTGAAACTGTTTCCAGTTTCACAGGTAATCTCTTCTCTCTGTTTTATCACCTAGAAGGAGCAAGAAAGATCTCTGAGATCTCTTTTAAAGAGACACTAGTCTCAGCCTTGTGAAGTAGCACACACTTCTAATCTCAGAACTTGGGAGGCAGAGACAGGCAGACCTCTGTGTGGCCAAGACTACCCCGGTCAATATATCAAGTATGTTTATATCCCAGGCCAGGCTGACCTATATAGTAAGACCCTGTCTCAAGAGGAGGTGGGGTACTAATTTCATAAGGATAAGGCACTCATGACATTATCCCTAGGAAGTATCCCCCTTCAGAGGCTGTCACACTGGGCATTAGGTTATGATGTGTGAACTTGAATTGGACATAAATATTTAGTATGTCGTAGGTGGCCCGTAGTGTCCAGGCCAAAGATACAAACATATGCTGGCTATGGAATCTGTCACTACCTAGTTGGATGAAAGGGCAAAAGGGAAAGAGAGAGAACAAAAGAAAAGGACCCAGTCCAAGAAGATGAGGATAAGCCAACAAAGTTTAAAAGGCTCTGAAAGGGGACTTGGGAAATCCCGTGCTTGCTTGTTTCTTTGGCTCACCAGTCAGATTCTTCACTCTTTTTCTTTTTTAAAAGAGAAGTAGATATAAAGCCTTTCATAGTCCCTTGGAGGTCAGGACAGCCGATACATCAGGAATCCAGGATACCTTTCAGTAAGAGCCTCTGGATTTATCCTTGAAAGTATATTGCTTGTGATCAATTTCAGCCGTACAGCAGCATCAAACATGAGCCTGGTTATTTAAGTAGGCCAGCACTGTTCTAGAATAAACCTCCAAGCTCCAAAATAAATCTGAAGCATCAGCAGAAGTTATCTGAATTTTCATAATTAGAATTTTACATATTAATTTTTAAAGTTTGACTTCAAAGCATAGGAAAAACTTTTTAATTCAGTGCTGTGTATGCTTGGAATACTAAGGAGATGTTCTCACTGACTCAGCCCTACCAGTGGAGAGCATTGATGAGTGAGACTGCCATTCAGGAGATCAGCCCTTCTCCAGTAACTGTTGATGATAAACTGCTTTCTCCTGCCTCAGACTGAAAATGTTATCAGTGATTTGGACACTGTCACTAAATCCACTACTTTCAGCTCTCACGTTACGTATGGTCAAAAAAGGGTGCTTTCAAAAAATATAGAAAAAATGAAACAGCTGCTCTCATTGACATATTTTACTTCCATTATTTTTGTGTGTGTTCGGCTGCTTTCACAGTCGCTTAAGAAAACTCATATAATGTTGTCCACCACCTATTTTTTTTCATTTGTATTTTATTTTAATTGATTGTTCAAGTTATAGCATCTTCCCTAAAACAAGCTTTGTACTAGTGATGTAGTATAAATAGTTCTTTACTCTCTGAGCATACCAATTGTCTTTGGCATGTTCTAATAACAAACTTCTATCTGAAAGCAGCTATTGGTTGTTACAAACTTTACTGTTTGTGTTTTGATCTAAATTACAAATGTTAGCTTTTTTGTCCAAACATCCCTTTAAATATAGAACAGCTACCACTCTGTTCTTTTCACAACATATTGTAAGTATTGACAAAACAATGTCAAAGTCACTTCCATGTTGTATAATTTATCTTTGGCTTAACTGTTTTTATTTCTGGGGGCTGCAGAGATGGTTTACTGGTTAAGAGTACTGTGTGACCTAGGTTCAATTTCCAGCATCAGCATCTGTAATTCTAACCCCAGCAAATCCAGTGCCCTCTTCTGACCTCCGTGGCCACTGCATGTATGTCATATGCAGACAAAATACCCGAATGCATAAAATAAAATGAAAGAAGCTATTTCTGAAGTTCATGCAGAACTGTTAGCTATGGTCAGACGTAAACAGTAAATTATATTTTCCATGGCTTGTGTCATTGCTGGTCTAACTGAACCATTATGGAGAGGTAGGACAGTATCTTCAGGGATGTACAGTCACTGACACATAAGAGTCTGGGGTGCCAGACACAGGTTCACATGGGCATTTTATTGAGTAGAAGAAACCATTAACACCCCATTATATACAAGGGAAATCAAATCTGTGGAAAGAAGAGTCAGTCTGCTTAAGAACTCGAAATGAATTAGTAAGAGAGCTAGAATATAATTCATCCTGTCTGAATTAGGGGTTCCAAACATTTTTTTTCTTCATAAAAGGATAGTCTGGTAAAATGAAAAAGAAAAGAAAGCTGTTTTAATGTATGAGATAGGGTTGGCATAAAAGCTCCCTAGTTATCAAAGGCTATGACAGGCTAACATTACACTCCTGTTCCATTTGCAGTCTAACAAGCCCAGGACAGAAACAAGATAGGCCAGATGGCTTGACAAGGTGAATGGGAACGGCAGGCAACTTAGCCATGCCAAGAAGAGAAGCAGTTAGTCATTCCTAGTAAGCTACTAATCTGGCCATTGTAGTTCGTGATAAGTGTGACATTTACATGGATTTTTCACTACAGACTGCTTTTAATTTGGAGCTTAATCATTAAAGAGATCATTTGGAAGCAGAATTCTACTGATTCGTTATATCAAACGCCATTAGTGTAGGGGTCTAAATCAATAATGAACGGGGGGAAAAAGACGGAGAAACCATGTCATAGAATGGCCTATAATTTGTAAGCCATAAGACTTTTAGACTTTTAGGAGCGGGTAACCTCTCCTGTGATTCTATTCTTAACCTCACCTCCTTTTAGTCCCATAATGTCGCTATCTTCTAGCAGTAATTACCTGCCCTCCAATGGACAACCTCCTCTCTATTTTCTTTCCTAGAATCCCGCCGCATCCTACTTCCTGTGGTTCTTCATCACATTCATCTTCACCTGAGGCAGCAGAAAGAGTTGCTGATCTGTTCAGGGATTCTGGGCAGCATCTTCTCCATCGTCAAGACCAGCTCTCTGGTAGTGACCCCACAACCCTCCCCACTCACCTCTGCCCTGGTTTTATGTTACTGTAGTCGGGAAGAGCTCAACAGTGATCACTTTGTCCACTTCCCGGTCAGAGATGCCTTTGCTGGTGAAAGGGAAGTGCCCAGATGAAGCCTGTGTCTTCCCAGCAGGGCTCTCCGGGCAGTACGTCTTTGTTATAAATGTACTCGGATATATAATCTCCCATACTATCAGAAAGACCAGTCCTGTTTCTTCTTCTGTTTCTATCAAAAAGGATTAAGGTAGGACTCCTGGGAATTTTCTTAAGATTAGAATTATGCATACCAGGAGACAGACCCAAACTAGCAGGGAAGCTTGATTATGCAGACTTTGAGCCTTGAGGCAGCTTGATTCCACCCAGGGCATCCTTACATCTTGCCGGATGAGGTCAGAAAATGCAGTAACTATATACTACCCATAAAAGTGCTGAGTCTTTGGGATGTAAAACTGTTCTTTAGATGTCAGGTTTCAACTAATAATGTTTTAGCTATTTTCTCTGTTTAATTTTTAAGGAAATATGTGGTAGAAGGAGAGAGATTGGGGTAGGGGAAAAGCAAAGGCGTAGGTGAGAGTAGAATTTACTTTCATAATATTTATTTTATATACTTTTCATAGAAGAAATGTCTATTATAGAAAATTAAGAGACTGTAGGAAAGGTATAAAGTGATTAAAGAATAAGCATGGGCTTTATTACATAATTTTTTTAAAGTTAATAGTCCTAGAATAAAATTTAAAGTGAAGGATATAGCCCAGGTGATAACATACTAAACTAACTACTTAGGTGAAATAAAAGAGGCTCCTAGAGGAGGATACCCCCTCTCAGTGGACTCGGAAGGGGGCAGGGAGGAGATGAGGGAGGGAGGGAGGGGAGAATTGGGAGGGAAAGAGGGAGAGGGCTACAGCTGGGATACAAGTGAATGTATAAAATTATTTAAAAATAAAAAAATACTTAAAAAAAACAGCATGTACAATCTTGTTACAGGTATGTCCTGCTTTTTAAGCTTTAAGTGAGGTATTATACTATTAACTTTATATTTTGACTAAAATATCTAAGAGATGAAGCTGGATAATCTATGAATAACCTGTCACTAAAAGCATTAAGCTACCAGATTCTGGAGGTATGTAAATGTAGATAATATTCTGAATATTTTTTGAAATGAAACACTAGGTATTAAATAAAAGAATAACAAATTGCTTTTAAAAAAAAAAAAGAGGCTCCTAGAAAAACCACATAATCATCTCCTTAGATATGGAAAAAGCATTCGACAAAATCTAGCACCCATTCATGTTTAAAGTCTTGGAGAGATCAGGGATACAAGGCACATACTTAAACATAGCAAAGGCAATATACAGCAAGCCTATAGCCAACATCAAACTCAATGAAGAGAAACTTAAATCAATCCCACTGAAATCAGGGACAAAGCAAGGCTGCCCACTGTCTCCATATCTCTTCAACATAGTACTTCAAGTCCTAGCCAGAGCAATAAGACAATTAAAGGAGATCAAGGGAATACAAATCGGAAAGGAAGAAGTCAAAGTATCACTATTCACAGATAATATGATAGTATACATGAACGACCCCAAAAATTCAACCAGAGAACTCCTTCAGCTGATAAACACCTTCAGCAAAGTGGCGGGATACAAAATCAACTCAAAAAAAAAATCAGAAGCCCTTCTGTATACCAAAGACAAAAGGGCCAAGAAAGAAATTAGGGAAACAATACCCTTCACAATAGCCACTAATAACATAAAGTATGTTGGTGTGACTCTAACCAAGCAAGTGAAAGACCTGTTTCAAAAAAACTTCACATCTCTGAAGAAAGAAATTGAAGCTATCAGAAGATGGAAAGATCTCCCATGATCATGGATTGGTAGGAATAACATAGTGAAAATGGTCATTCTGCCAAAAGCAATCTACAGATTCAATGCAGTTCCCATCACATTCTTTACAGACCTTGAAAGAAAAATTCTCAACTTCATATGGAAAAACAAAAACCCAGAATTTCCAAAACGATCTTGTACTACAACAGATCGTCTGGAGGTATTTCCATCCCTGATCTCAATCTGTACTACAGAGCAATAGTAATAAAAACTGCATGGTGTTGAAACAGAAACAGAATAGTAGATCAATGGAACCGAATAGAAGACCCAGAAATAAACCCACAAACCTATGGATTCTTGATTTTCGACAAAGAAGCCAAAACCATTCAATGGAAAAAAGACAGCATCTTCAACAAATGGTGCTGGTCCAACTGGATGTCTACATGCAGAAAAATGAAAGTAGATCCATATTTATCATTGTGCACAAAACTGAAGTCCAAGTGGATCAAAGACCTCAACATAAAACCAAACACATTAAATCGGTTAGAAGAAAACGTGGGAAAGACCCTAGAACTCATTGGCACAGGAGACAACTTTCTGAACAGAATACCAACAGCACAGGCTGTAAGATCAACAATCATTAAGTGGGACCTCATGAAACTGAAATGTTTTTGTAAAGCAAAGGATACTGTCATCAGAACAAAACGACAGCCTACAGACTGGGGAAGGATCTTCACCAACCCTGTATCTGACAAAGGGCTAATATCCAGTATATATAAAGAACTCAAGAAGTTAAAAAACAACAAATCAAGTAATCCAGTTAAAAAATGGGGTACAGAGCTAAACAAAGAACTCTCTGTAGAGGAATGTAGAATGGCAGAGAAACACTTAAAGAAATGCTCAACATCCTTAGCCATCAGGGAGATGCAAATCAAAACGACCCTGAGATTTCACCTTATGCCCGTCAGAATGGCTAAGATCAAAAACTCAAGTGACAGCACATGCTGGAGAGGTTGTGGAGAAAAGGGAACCCTCCTCCTTTGCTGGTGGGAATGTTAACTTGTACAACCACTTTGGAAATCAATCTGGCGCTTCCTCAGACAATTAGGAATAGTGATTCCTCAAGATCCAGCTATATAACTCCTAGGCATATATCCAAAAGATGCTGAAGTACATAACAAGGACATTTGTTCAACAATGTCTGTAGCAGCTTTATTCGTAATAGCCAGAACCTGGAAACAACCCAGATGTCCCTCAGTGGAGGAATGGATACAGAAATTGTGGTACACTTATACAACGGAATACTACTCAACAATTAAAACGGAATACTACTCAACAATTAAAAACAAGGAAATCACGAAATTTGCAGGCAAACGGTGGGATCTAGAAAAGATCATCCTAAGTGAGGTATCCCAGAAGCAGAAAGACACACATGGTATATACTCACTTATAAGTGGATACTACACCTATAATATAGGGTAAACATACTAAAATCTGTACACCTAAAGAAGCTAAACAAGGAGGAAGACCCGGGGTAAGAAGATCAATCCTTACTTAGAAAGACAAATGGGATGGACATTGGAAGTAGGAGAAAACGAGAAGCAGGATAGGAGTCTACCATAGAGGCTTCTACCTAGCAGTGTATCAAAGCACATGCTGAGACTCATGCCAAACTTTGGGCAGAGTGCAGAGAATCACATGAAAGAAGAGAGAGTTAGTAAGACCTGGAGAGAACAGGAGCTCCCCAAGGACCAAATATATCTTGGCACAGGGGCTTGTCTGAGCCTGATTGTCCAACCAGGGACCATGCATGGATATAACCTAGAAACCCTGCTCAGACGTAGCCCATGGCAGCTCAGTATCCAAGTGGGTTCCCTAGTAAGGGGAACAGGGACTGTCTCTGGCATGAACTCTGTGGCTAGTTCTTTGACTTCCCCCTGGAGGAGCAGCTTAGCTAGGCCACAGAGGAGGACACTGCAGCCAGTTCTGATGAGACCTGATAAGCTAAGGTCAGATAGAAGGGGAGGAGGGGAGGAGGACCTCCCCTATCAGTAGACTTAGAGAGGGGCAGGGAGGAGCTGAGGGAGGAGGGTGGGATTGGGAGGGAATGAGGGAGGGGGCTACAGCTGGGATACAAAATAAATAAACTGTAATTAATATAAAAAATAAAATTTTAATTTAAAAAAAGAGGCTCCTAAAACAAAAACATGCTTAATTGAGCAAAAGACAGAAACCCAAAAGGAAGCTCTGGTGTCCAGAATTAAAGTACCATTGAATGGCAGAGGCCCAACTTGTCAGATAGTTATTGTAATGGTTGTAGTGACCCTATTGTTTGTTCTTTTCTCCAGTCAAGACCTGGTAACTTTTATTCCCACCAGGACTCATAAATCTACAGTATCCAAGGTCATATGTGAAGTAGCTTATTGCTAAAAGAAGGGAAGAAATTGAAGAGGGGGTTTAAAAAAAGAAAAATGGAAACCAGTGAAAAACCTAAAGGATGTAGTTTAATGGTATTTGGGGGAGTTAGAGAGTTGAGTATAATTAGTTAACTACAACTGCTCAAACATGTATCAAAGAAAAGAGTGTTACACTTTGATAGATGGGAAGAATTTCTTTATCCCCAAGAGCCAATTCCTCTTGGAAATAGGGCAGAATATAATTATATTTGGTAGATAGGTAAAAGGAAATGAAATTTCAGCTCTGTGATATTAGAGATAGTCTCTCCCTCGTTCAGCTCAGTACAGTCAGGTTTTCAAACAGTGGATGGCACGTAGTAAATGTTAAGCGGTGACAGGGCGGATGGGTAGAGTATGAATATTAAGACCAACAGTAGTACAAATATTTCAGAGGTCTGGGGAGATGACTCAATGTTTCAAATGCCTGCCTTGAAGACACTAGGGTACACATTTCGTTCTCTAGCACCCATGTAAAAACCTAGCATGTTGGTGTATATGTCTATAACCCCAACACTGTGGGGAGGAAATGAATGGAGGAACAGGAAGATCCAGGAGGCTTGATGACCAGCCATTCTGGATAAAATGGCTAAAAATAGGTTCAGTTGAGAATTTGGTCTCAAATAATAAAATTAATAATAATAATAATAATAATGGTGATGATGTGGAGGACAAAGGAAGACATTTGATGTCAAATTCTGGACTCGACTTGCGTGCACTCAGCTCTGTGCACCTGCACACACATGCACCACATGTAAACCACACAGGTACACAGAATAAAAATTTTAAATATATTTTGGAAAGGGGACAGTGAGAATCTCTTTTGAAAGGTAATTGAAGCCACCCTACAAAATTTAAAATGAATATGTGATGTCTATAAAAGGATAATACAAATTCTTCTAAAAGTGTAGTAACTGGGCAGTGAGAAGGCATGTTCTACTTTTATAAAGCTGCTAGGGAAGATGGATTGAGAATTGAGTCTTTCAGATGAATGGGAATAGCAACAGACTGAGGAGCTAGAAATGACCACAGAAGGGGTTTGCAAAAATTAAGGGGAGGGTGGATGAAAGGAGAGAAAGAGGAGGAGGGAAGGAGGGAGGGGGAAAGAGAGAGGAAAGAGGTGGGAAAACTTGACATTTTTCAAACTTCATTTCTCAAAGTGTCAGTAGAGGCACGCTTTTTCTCTTCACTACACTGGATAAATAAAACTTTTCGCTTAGAGCATCCATCTCTGTCCTGTGTATCAAAATTAACATGTCTGCCTGAGATTGAAATTTGTGGCTGGCATTACCAAAGCCAAGGCCTCAGCCACCATGCTTGGAACAGTAGAGGCAGGTATATCTCACCTCCTGCCAAAGCTATTGTCCTGGATTCCTTGCACACTTCATATGGGTGAGTCTGTGAGATCAGTATTGGAAATCCAGTTAGAAGATCTCTCCTGAGGTGGCTTAGTGAGTTCTGCTAGCTGGACATCTGCCTGATGCTAATGGTGTGCTCTCTCACTGCTCACTCCAGGAGGCAGATGTCATGGAGGAGGTAGAGATGATGGTGGAAAGCCTCCTGGATGTGCTCTTACAGACTCTACTAACCATCATGAGTAAATCACATGCTCAGGAGGCGGTAAGAGGGCAGCGGTGCCCGCAGTGCACAGCCGAGATCACTGTTAGTAACTAACACTCAGGTGTTCTTGCTTTCTTTTCTAACCTGGGGCTCCTTCCATTACTCCCGTCTCACCACCCCAGCATTTTCATCTCAGTCTTCTCCCTGCATGGTGGTCAGCATGTCACCCTCTTCTTTCTTGAGTCTTAATCCCGTCTCTACATTGAAAGCTCTCATTTCCTACTCCCAGGAGACTACTTGAGGAAAAGTCAAGGGATGATTTTTGTATGATTTCCCGACCATAACTTTAGTTGGTCTTTTCCTTTAAGACAGGTCACTTTTTATAAATGTTGAACGACACAGTGATACAGAAAAGCTGCAGGAAGAGGCTAAAGATGAACAACAGGCCCATCATCTCCTGTAGGAAACCTCCCTTATAGTTTTCCCAAATGACAGAACAGGATAATTTTCTTACAATTTTCTTGGGTCTACAGATTAGTTGATTTAGTACATAATGTTTGTATCTAAATTTTTAACATCAAAAAAATATAATATGGTAGAATTTCAGAGGTGTTGTTGAATAATGATTTTTATATGGCCTAATTAGGGGAGGAACAAACTGGGGAAGCATCTCAGAAGGTAGAGACAGGAACTTTGGCATCCAATACCATTTGTATATCCAGAGTGAATTTTCCAGCCCTCATATGGTACCATGATAAACAGTTTATGTGAACTCTCTTTCATTTGGAAGATGAGAGATTAATAGAACTCTCTTTGAAAAAGTCATCTCTGGGAGCAAGTCAAGCTTTAGCATGTCAGGGTGAGCATATATTCTAGAGCATTTGGTCTAAGAAAAGTAGCTCCTCTGTTAAGAGCCTCCTGTTGAAAAATATAAGGCTTAGTTGTTGTTGTTGTTGTGGTTTTTTTTTGTTTTTTTTTTTTTTTTACTGTAGGCATTGTCATATTACACAGGTCTGCGGTATTCCTTAGTGTGGTAGCCTAGGCATAGACACAATCAGAAACTCACTTGTGATGAAAGAAGCAGGCTGTCAGGATTGAAAATCAGATAGTTCTAAAACAGATCCTACAGTAAACTTCGACCAATTAGATTCCAGAGATTTCAGATGGAAAACTTTTAATTTGTCCATAATTTTAATATGTCCATAATTCAAGTAAAGATGAAAGAAACTTAATTCCTTAAGTAAAGGAATTTGGGGCTGATAAGATAACTGGATTAAGTATCAGTTCTTTCTAAGTGAACTGTCTTGAAAAAAAATCTAGAACTTCAGCTTAGAACAGTAGTTACCTTGGTGGGCAGCAAAGGAATTACAGCATGTAAAAAAATCCTTTAAGAAAAATTTAGTGAGGTATTTGATTGAGAGCCCTGTGAAGTCACTCTCAGTGTAGGTAAAATAACTATGTACCCTGACATGTCCTGGTAATCCAGCCTTCTAATCAACACTCACACAGCCCTTGCTAGGGGTTCTGACACTACTTTAAACATTTGACACGTTACTAATGAAGTCATTCATTTCTGTAGATTATTATAATTTGTTGGGTACCTTTTATGTATTAGACTTTGTGCTTCAGTGCTACACACACAAACACACACCTACACACCTACACACAAATACACACATACAAACACATACGCACAAACTCATCTGACCTTTACAGCAAATTAATTTTGACTTCTTATGTCCATTTTCTGATAAAACTGAAGTTCATATACATGTGTAAATTTTGTGTAGTTTCAGGGCTCTAGAAAAGATTTGGTAAGTTAAAAAGCTATTATCAAATTCTCTTAAATTTAGAAAAACTTTAAAATCATCTAGGTAAAAAATACGTTTTCTGCTCTGAGGAAACAGCTTTTTAACAACCATGTCAGTAATTGCCATAGCATGGTCTTTGGAGTCCTTAAAGCAGTTTTTTTTTTTAAGTGTATCTTAAATTGGCTTTAAAAAAACTCATAATAATACTTAAATATGCCTTGAAGTTCATGGCTTATTCCCTCCCAAAATCAATTTTTATTTTTTGATCACTTATGTCCCATTTTCCCAGTTCAGCTGTCCTTCCCAAGAATATCTTTGTTGAAGAGCTGCCTTCTCCCAGCATATGATCCAGATTTTGTTCAGAGAAGGAGAAGCTCCTTTTCCAAGTAACCTCTGCAGACTTCAGTATTGTACTCTTGACAATAAAAGACTATTTAATCAAAACTTTACCATAGAGAAAATGATAATTAATATTTCACTTTGCAGTGTTCCATGTTGTAAGTGAAGGTTTTTCAATAACCTTATACTACAAAACTCCAAAGCATTCCTAGAAAAAAAACAGTTCATTTTCAGGAACACGGTTGTCACCTTTTCTCATGAACATTTGGGGCCATCACAAACCCTCCCCTCTCTCGCCTTCCCCTCTGTGATCTGGAGAAGAAAGCCCCTGTGCTAAGTGGTTCTATTTTTGGTTTTGTCTTTGGATTGGCCCCAGGGTGAATATGTGTCCTGCCTCCTCTCACTGCTCCGGCAGATGTGTGACACCCATTACCAGCACCTCTTAGACAACTTCCAGAGCAAAGATGAACTCAAGGTAGGTAACAGAGAACTGGCTTTTCACCCAGGAAAGGAAGCAGGCAGCTGCAACTGCCCATAGGCTTCTCTTTGTCACGGGGTTGTATTCAAGTGGCCATCACTGCCTTAGGGTATTGGATTCAGCAGCCCAGTTTACAGTAAACTATGTGACATCCAACAGCTGAAGTCTGGCAGTGCCCTTCACATAGTCTGATGCCAGGTTAACACTTGAAAATTTTTCTCTGGCTGATAGCAGCCTTGTGAACATTAGTGTCTATTAAATAATAACCCGAAGCACACTGGGTCAGAAAGCCAGGACGTTCCCGTTCTTACGTTTTATTCTGTGCGAGCCAGGCTTTACTGCTTTAGTAACAATCTATTGATGATGATGACAGTGTTTGTTTATTTGAATGTCCTTCTGGAGAATAGCTGTAGAGAGCTAAGATATCCGCTTCCTACCTTGAGCTGCCAGGCTTTGAATTTGAAGGACTGAGGGGTAGATGGTACCGAGAAATGAGCCTGAAGTCCAGACAACAGAACATTGCCCTTGCTAAGGATTGCATCAGCTACTCAAAGACTGCTGCAGTTTGTGTCTATATCAGACCATGTTGCTTCCTCCTTGGGCTAAGGATATCTCAGACTCGTGTCTGTGCTCTGCTTTTATTTAGAACCCAGTCACTTGTACGTTAGAGTGATATACCCCACCGTTGTCCACTTACATAATCTTCACTAACTCTGTTGTGTCAGTTATCACTTCTGATGTCTGATTCTGCCTTCTCTTCACAGATAGATCTCTGCAGGTTGGTATCACATACGACCTACCTGTAAAGTTAATCAAAATACAAGTCAAGCAATGATCAAGCTGAGGTGTAGAGCCAGAAAATACAGACTTGCCTGTGCTAGATTTTTTTTATCCTATGTGTGTGATGCTGAGTCTCAATCAGACTAACATCATTAGCTTTTGTTTTTATTACAGAAATGTATTTGTGATTGTAAAAGCTGAAATTATTCACAAAGCTTGTAATATATATATTAAACAGTTATTTTTTGGCTTAGCTTGGCAAATAGCCAGTTCCTTCTTAAGAGCAGCTTTTTTTAATATGCTGTTCTTCGGGAAGCTTCTACTGAAAATGGTTAGATTTTGTTAGCTATCTATTTGCTTCTTTCCAAGGAAAATTAGGAGGGCTCTTTTCAGTTATTCCTCTTTCACATGCCCACCTTTCCTGCTGTTCTTCTAATGTAGATTTTACACATTTTTATTGAAATTGGTAGAGAGCCAAAGCTGTACTATGATTCTATTTCTTTTGTTTATGTTGCTTGTCCAGAAATTGGTTGCCTCATTTCTAGTGTGCTTTGTTTTGTTTTCACATCTGTCTTCTGCACTTTGGGTATCGTCATCTTAGTATACCTCTCCTCTCAACTTGACTTATTGTCATAGCTGTCAAATACTGCACAGTCATTTCCCCCTTGATTTGTTTTAGTCTATCTTGTTTCGTTTTGTAGTGCTGGCACTGAAACTCAGGCTTGGCATTCCAGGCATATACCTTTACCAATAAGTTATATTCCGGCCTTGTTTTTTGCAGGGAATGGGATTTTGGCTGTGGAGCTCAGGTTGGTCTTGAACTCGCTGTGTATCCCAGGCTAGTCTCAAACTAGCAATCTTCCTACCAGTACCTCCTGAAAGCTGACATTACAGGACTTCACAGTGCCTAGCTCATTCTCTTTCTTTTGTATTAAGGACTTTCTTCCTATATACAGATACTCTAATATCCACTTATAAGTCAGTATATACTATGTGTTTCTTTCTGCTTCTGGGATACCTCACTCAGGATGATCTTTTCTAGATCCCGCCATTTGCCTGCAAATTTCGTGATTTCCTTGTTTTTAAGTGCTGAGTAGTATTCCGTTGTGTAAATGTACCACAATTTCTGTATCCATTCCTCCACTGAGGGACATCTGGGTTATTTCCAGGTTCTAGCTATTACAAATAAAACTGCTATGAACATGGTTGAGCAAATGTCCTTATTATATATTTGAGCATATTTTGGATATATGTCCAGGAGTGGTATAGCTGGATCTTGAGGAAGCGCTATTCCTAATTGTCTGAGAAAGCACCAGATTGATTTCCAAAGTGGTTGTACAAGTTTGCATTCCCATCAGCAATGGAAGAGGGTTCCCCTTTTTCCACATCCTCTCTAGCATGTGTTGTCACTTGAGTTTTTGATCTTAGCCATTCTGATGAGTGTAAGGTGGAATCTCAGGGTTGTTTTGATTTGCATTTCCCTGATGACTACAGATGTTGAGCATTTCTTTAAGTGTTTCTCTGCCATTCTGTATTCCTCTACAGAGAATTCTCTGTTTAGCTCTGTACTCCATTTTTTAATTGGATTGCTTGATTTGTTGCTTTTTAACTTCTTTAGTTCTTTATATATTCTGGATATTAAACCTCTGTCAGATACAGGATTGGTGGAGATCCTTTTCCCATCTGTAGGCTGTAGTTTCAGAAATATTAGCTACATTTTAGAGATGAGTATAAAAGCTAACAAAGGCCTTGAGCTTGGTTATTTTTCATGGAAAGTTCTGGTTGTCATCGAGATGCTGCCTGCCACAAGTGTGTTGACTCAAAAAAAAAATTATTATACCAAAAGAGATAAGTATTTATTCTGAATCTAAGTATGAGTGGTGATGTCATGGGAAAAGAGATTTAGGTTACCTCAGATTGTATGTTCCGGTTTAGTAACCGTTTCATAGTAATAGAACACAGGAAATCTAAGTCAAGACACTTTTCAAATACATTATAGAAACATCCAGTAAATGAGTTACAACAAAATGGGAAATTTCTGCTATCAGCCTCAAAATACTGAGGACATTCTTAATTTCTTGACTTGTTTCTACCTGATAGTTTTTTCCTGATAGGAATAAGTATATTAGGTTAGACACAGGTGGGCAGGGAATGATTAAGAGGATGAAAATTAGTTCAAAATAAGTTGTAATTAAACTCTGGACCTGTAATATTCTGTTACTGGGAAATCAGAGTTCCCTTATATGTTGCTGGAAATTTGGGGAGTCCTTAAGGTTGTGAGTCTATGTAATAAAATTTAAGTGAAATTTAAGAACAGACTCAGGCTGGGCGTGGTGGCACACACCTGTAACGTCAGCACTCAAGGAGGCTGAGGCAGGCCGATACATATGAGCTCAAGGCCAACCTGATCTACAAAGTGAGCCCGGAACAGCCAAGAAGAAGACCAGATTTTTAAATGCTTACAAAAGCCATAAAAATGACCAACACTGAAGGTCATAGGGTCAAGCATTTCTAACAGCTAAGAATTCCCAAGGGGCCAGCTGATGAACAACTGGGGATCCTTTAAAGGGCCAGACACAGAAAATAAATCACAGTACATTTCCCTCCATTTGTTTTAGCTACTAACTGTGTAGTTTTGAGGCTGCCCTGGGTGCTCCCTGTTGCCCCACTACTGTTGCGGTTTTTTTACTTATCCATTTTTTCCAGTGTGTTTTTCCAGGTTTCTTGGATGTCTGATGTGATCTTTCTGTTGATCTCTCAGGGGCATATCCACAACTGAGAAAAAAACTAACAGCAATGCTTCTCTTTCCTATAATTTGGGTACAGAAAACTGTACCCAAATGTACCCAAATTATAGTTTTCTGAACCTTTTTATACTCCTAACTGTCTTGTCTTCTAGCACCGTGTGCTCTGGAGTTCCTTGTTGAAGTCTCTTAATCTCTGTCCCCAGCTCTGTGAACCTTTGGCCTACAGCCTGACTTGGGCATGCAGGATGTGGTATTCATTATAGCCTTGTCTTAAAGTCCTACTCATAGGTCTGTTGTTGCTCTACATTGTGGATGGTTCTGTATTTCAGGAAACCAAACTCCTGCTCATAGGCCTGTCAGTGGTTAAATGCTGAATGATTTTTGTCCAGGCTTTTCTGGCTGGCAGGGGAAGGCAGTGGCTGGCCAGGCTCTTTTCTTTGCTCTTTTTGGGTCAGTGGTGAAGGTTTTCAGAAGACCTCCTGTATTCAACTGTGAGCTTTATTAGTTTTGATGGTATTCATAGCTTTTCATTTCCTAAGGAAATACAAGCAAATCAGTGTCCCCGATGTAAAACATTGCTGACTTCTATAATGTTAATATATTTTTATAGTATATAGACTGATTTAATTCCATGGTTTTTCTATAACCCAGTGTCTTCCCAGCTGCTGTTGTTCCTTTCTCATTAATGTTCAGAAAATTTAAAGTTAACAGAGCACTCTTTGGTATGTCCCTGGAGGTCTTTATTCTTCCTTTTTTTAAAAATAAGCATTTCCTTTAAGGTGAGATTAGATATCTACAACTGCTTGTCCTGTAGGATTGTGTGGCATTCCTGTAATGTGCTTTATATTATAATATGCAAAGAACTGTTCATCTTACTGGAGACATGTGAGGACACTGTCAGCCTTAATTTGTATAGGTATCCCCGTAATAGTCATTATTCCCACTAAAAGTGTAATTACAGTATCAGCCTTTTCAGAACTCAAAGCAGTTGCCAATTGAAACCCTGAGTATGTATCAGTGATATAGTGTACAAAGACTAGTTTTCCAGATTCTGCAAAATGAAACATATCCATCTGCCAGATTTTATTTCTTTTGGTACTCCTAGGATTCCTTCCAGCAGGTAATGGATTTTGGTTATACAAAGAACTAGTAGGACATTTTCTTATAATTTCCTTGGCTTGTTACCAGGTGATAGATTTTTTTTTCCTTTAAGCTTGTACTGTTAACATAGTGTTTTCATGAAATTTTGAGGCTTCTAACATATTACCCATGAATAGTTGGTCAGTTTCTTCATTTCCTTGTGCTGATGGACCTGGCAAGCCCGTATGACACCAAATATGGCTGATATGTAATGAATGATTTCTATTTCTGATTGCCTGCTGCAGTTGAATAAATAACAAGATTAATTCTGAATTGTACGGAATAAATTCAGCAGTTTCTAAATGCAAAATAACTCTTTCTGCATAGTGA